TTCGCGGCTCGGCCAGGGTGGGACCCAGTGACTGGTCTCGGCACCCCGAACTTCCTCAAGCTTCTTGCGAGGTTCTTGGAGCTGCCATGAGGCGTCCCCAGTAGTGAGATATATATATATCCATGAATACGCAACCCTTGGTTATTGGATGCGCATCTTATCAACTCAGTCGATGGAAGGCCAGCGGACATCCCTTGGCTGGACATGCGGACGCGGAACTCCTAGCCGGGGTGCACAGTAATGTGGAATCTGGATGTCGTGACTCGTTCGTCAGAAATTTGCGGTCAGTTGAACGCTCCGATTGACCACACCAAGTCTCGGCCGTCGATGGCGTCGTTTGGAAGGGGTGAGTTCGCAAGGCTCAAGAACCTCTCTGACATGGCCGCTTCGCCAGACTATTACAGCTTTGCGGGGAGTCAGGAGGGTCCGCGCATCCTCATAATACACCGTCTGCACGGTAACGGTGAACAGCTCGTTGCACTGATGTGGATGTTCCCAATCTTTCTCAGACCGAATGCAGCTACTTACTACGTACATAAGCAAAACACTATATCCCACCGAAGCTAGGTAGCAGGTATGCCCACGCCTGTCTCGTCTTGTGTATGCCATTGCAGTGTATGTGCAGCTTGTCGGGGAACAGACCGTACATATCTTTTACCCCTCCTTCAAAGGCTCCTTAGCGTCGGCGAAGAACTCTCTAAGAACCCGTCCCAAGATCGGGATCCCTTGCGCCATCGTCTCCTCAGAGCCCGCGAACGTCGCACGCAGGAAGTTGGACCGCTGCCGCGATCACCAACAACGTTGTCAGCCACACCACGCCAATGCGCCATTCAAAGGGCACCACTCACGTCGTCTATGTGCACCGCGCCCTCCTCGTCGTGCGCCGCGTCCGCAGGGAGCGTGAAGACCGTGGCGGGGCAGACGATGAGCCCGTGAGCGAGGCACGCGGCGAAGAGCTCCTCCATGAGCGCGCGCGCGTTCGTCCGCGGGACGGAGCCGACGACGGCCCACTGCTCCCCCTCCCCTTCATCGTTCTTAGCTTCAGTTCTGTCCGCCTGCTTTCTCTCGCCCGGCTCCCGCCCTTTCTCCATCCAGTCGGACGTGGTCCCGCCCACCGCGCCATCGACGGTGAAGCGCGGATGGCGTTCGACAAACACCCTGATCCAGATAAACATGCCCGCCTCGGGCACATCTGCCTGCGCCCAGCCCGTGCGCGCGACCTCCCGCTCGAACAAGGCCAGCAGGAAGTCGCGCCGGCGCGCGTAGTCCCGCGCGAGGCTGCGCACCCAGCGATCGAAGCCCGCGAGCCCCCACCCATCACGGTCGAGAAGCTGGGTGAGGAGGAGTTGGGGGAGCCCGGAGGGGTGCTGTGTGGAGAGGTCGACGAGCTTGACGAGGTGCGTGGCGAAGGCGGGCGTGCTTGTGATGTATCCGAGGCGCAGGCCTGGGGCGAGGACCTTGCTGAAGCTGTGTGTAGATGTCAGATGGGTGGGTGGGGAAGGTTCAAAATGGGATGAGTGCGGACCTGTCTACGCGAACGACGCGGCCGTCGACGTCGAGGGAGAGAAACGATTTTGGGAGCGGCTTCTCTGTAGGAGGCGCGGAAGGGGGCTGGTCCGCAGAAGGAGGCTGGTCCGCAGAAGGAGGTTGGTCCGCAGAAGGGGTGGTGTTCGGAGGATCATATTGAAGAAAGTAGTATGGATCTGCATGCAATCCCGTGCCCTGTAAATACCGCAGCACCGAAGCGCACCGCACTCACCGTCCTCCACGATGACGAGGTCGTACTTTTGCGCGATCGCGTAGATCTGCAGCCTCCGCTCGAGACTGAGCGTCGACCCCGTCGGGTTCTGGCCGCACCTGCAAAGGCGAACACGAATGAGCGATCATGCGCCGACACGACTGGACCCAAGCACGCTCTCGCACGCACGGGGTAGTGTACAGCACATGCGGCCTCCTCCCGCGCCGATAATCCCAGCCTTCCAAGACACGCTCGAGCTCCGCGGGGACGATCCCGCCCGCGTCGAGGCGGACGGGCACCCAGCGCACGCCGTGCGCGGCCGCGGCGAGCGGCATCGGGCCAAATGTGAACTCGTCCGCAAGGAAGTGGTCGCCCGGGGCGCCAAGCATGCGGAACACCTTCGCGAGCGCGTCCGCATTCCCGAGCGTCATCGTCGCGACGTGGTGCGGCGCGGTGTGGTACGCGGCGGTGAGCGCGGACACGGCGCGGAGCGTGTCCGCGAGCCCCGCGCCGTGGCCGTACTGGAGCGAGGCACGGAGGAGACGCGCCGTGGACGCGTCGTGTGTGCTGCTGAGCACTTGCGTCGGCGCGGAGGGCCCGTCCGCGCGCCAGGCGGAGACGGGGTCGTCGGCGGCAACCGAGGCGACTTCGTAGTCTACACGGCGGATTGGGGAGAGGCTGTGGTGTGGATCTCCTGGGAAGGGTAGGCGAGGATGAGTGTAGGCAGCCGGCAGTGTGCAGACTAGGGTATTCACCGTTGGCGAGCGAGATGAGGTGAGGGTTCTCTAGAGTGATACGGATGATCTCCTTTAGCGGGTTGATCTTGCGCACCAGGACTTCTGGAGATAGATGATGCGTGAGATCCACGAACTGGGACGAAGTCGACATTGCCTCCTAATCGGTGACTGCTCTAGGTACGAGGAAGAGATCAAGGACGCCTCCAGCTCGCCGCCATGCAGGAGTCATACATATATCCCACCGTGAAGCGCTCGTACTATGTAGATCGCTTGGGCTGCACAGTCAGCGTTTCGCGTGATGTGTGTGGTCAAGTCGCGACCAATGTGACTGGCCAGACCTACCGCATAGTGAGAGAAACGGACCTCACGAGACCCATGGGAAAATCGAAAATGCCTATGCGAGTCCGAGTCATATTTGTGGACACTGAGTGCGTTCTTCGTCATCGGGCCGCATTGAGCTTCTGACGGAGAGTTCTCTGATGAGCATCGTTGGTGCACGTATTAACCGTTGCGGGCTTACCTGCGGCGATCATCAGAGCGAAGAAACTGGGCTCGTACGCATCTCCCAATGATCCACCGAGGTAGTAAGGGCAAGGTGCGCAGGGATCGGTGTACAAAACATATTTAGAGAAAATGAAATATTCAACATGCGGCAGTCCGCAATCTCAGGAAGTGAAGCGCGTCCATGATGTCCAAGAAATGCCCGGCGGCACCGCCTTCTCAACTGGCAAAGTCATGAGCCATACGCCGGTCGCGTCCATGATACCAATACTCACCTGTGCACATCATCTAGTACGGAGGCTCCTGGAACTCAAAGTGCAGCAGCTTGCGCGCATGCAGCACGGGGAGCCGCTTCTCGATCGCCAGCCCTCCATCGGGGATGTGCTTCGTGTCCTTGCACATATTGTAGAAGTTGATCCGGCCGAGGGACAGGAGTACGCTCAGAGTCTGCTGCATCGCGGCCCACGTGTGGTCCGGCACCTTCGCGACGTCCTCCGCCTTGACGTGCACGTAGAGGTTGACGGTGTGGAGCCGGACGAAGAGATGCGGGTCGAGCTGGCCGAGGAGCGTGATGACGAGGTAGAGCGAGTACGTGCGGCCGTCGAGCGTGAGCGTCGTGATCGCCGGCGGGTGGTGCGGCGTTAGAGAGAGTACCTCCGGGGTCTGCTCGACCTCTGCGGTGTCTGTGGCACGGCCGTGAGTTAGGAGCGGGTTATTAAGTGGACTAGACAGGCAAACGCACCTGGTGTACGCCACCTGTAGAAGACGATGTGGAGGTGCTTGAGCGCCGCCAGTCCGACGATGGTCTGATTGAGCCGTATAATCTGGCTGAGGCGGTAGACGGTGTAGATGAAATGCTCGGGGTTGGAGTGCGGGACGAGCCAGGGCATGAGTGTGAGCGGGGATGGCGAGTACGCCTCAGTGATCTTGAGCTGGCGCAAGAAGAGAGGGCGCCCCACGCGCTCGTTGGAGTCAGGGGGCGAGAGCCCGTAGAGCGAAGAGACGCGCCCACACCGTATGGTGTGGATCTTCGGATGGTCGCGGATGAGCTTGTCGAGGTCGGCATGGCACCGGAACCAGCAGTCGAACAAGGATATGGTGTGCAGGTTGGGGAAACTGGAGGAGAGCAGTTGCACGATGGAGCTGTCGAAGGGGATGTCCTTGAGCGTGAGGTTTTCCACGTTCTTCGCCCGAGGTGCGATGTCGTACACGAGCGCGGCAAGACGTGCCCTGGGCTTCTCGCCCTCCATGAGCTTGTGCAGACCCTTGAAAGTATCGCCGTCGTTCTCGAGTGTCAGGTTGCGGATATACAACACCAGCTCTGGGGCCATCGAAGCGAGCACAGACATTGCGTGGTCCCTATCCTTCTTGATTACAACGGTGCGGAAGAGGTGGAATCTGGCGGAGGGGACGAAGAGACGACAGAGGAGAGAACAGCTCCTAAGTGTCTGCTTGTCGTCGTGGAGGTAATCGATGACCTGGTCAATGAGCTCGGGTGGTAACAGAGCGTCCGTCTGGGGGTTGGCGGGAGGAGTCGGCTGAGGCTGTCCCTCTGGCGATGTGGATGATTTGGGGCGGCCTATCCTCGTGATGGCTTTCCATGCTCGAGTGACGGAGGAACGCAGCCTGCCCAAACCGCGTTGCCGACTCGAGGGTTCGGCGGATAGCGCCTCTCTCGAGGGCATAACGTTGGCCATACTCTATCGTGAAGTTCTTAAAGCACTCTGTATTGGCAGTTGAGCACCGACTCTGATACGGTGAGTTTACTCACCTTGTCTCGATTGGGCTTTGCGCCACGCTGGCAGTTAGTATCGGGGCAATGTGGATGAGAAGTCAAAAAATGGAGCGCAACGAACACGCGCAATATATCGTGGAGCCCCTATTGTTCAACGCCGCCATCAGAGGCTCACGCCATGGTCGTGGCAAGCATCATGCGGACAGGAGCGTTGCGAATCTTGTGAAGTGAGACAATACCGGGAGGCTTCAAATCTTGCTATATATAGTATTGCTTTGGAAGCTAGCATGGCTACCTGGCGCAATGGTAGCGCGTTTGGCTTCGATCGCCATGCGTACCAAAAGGTTGCAGGTTCGAGTCCTGCGGTGGTCAATTTTTTTTCTTCATACCCAGGACGATTTGGTTCACGCCAGGCAGACGATTGGGCTGAGAATAGACGGTCCTTACCTGATGGAGGGACGATGCGTAGGTTGCACTGCAGCTGACGGTAGGTATGCAAACATTCAGTCGTAGTTCTGAGATGTGTCAAAGTACATGTGCAACTATATCCTCCTCTCCTGTACTCTACAAAGCAAGAACAAACACACAGCAAGTGAACAACGATATACCCATAACACTGCTAAGCCAAAGCAATAAGTTATCTTGTCCGAGAACCAGGTGTCTCGGTTGTGTCCCAGCGTTCAAGCGTTCAAGAACGCGACCGCCTCGCAGCACCAGTGACGCTGCGCACGACCTGCTTCCACACCCTCCCCATCGTCGCGCTCGCGCCTGTGTTCGACCCGCTCCTCGGACACTCAGGCTCGTCCCCCGTTCTGCTCTTCCCCTCAGGTCCCACGGTCGATGTCGGGTATCCCCCGCGCCCCCCGATTCCGAACCTGAACACCGACCCACGCCCACTCTTGAGCTTAGTCGGCGACTCGAGCACGACAACGTTCTCCTCGAGCGAGCCAGCTCGAGACCCGATCGAGCCCACAGAGGCGATTGAATCCGTGGTCCGCAGGAACCCACCGACATCGCGCGCCTTCCCGAACTCGTCCTCCGGGTTCGTGACGGGGACAGGAATGGACTCCACATGCACGTCGTTGAGCTGCAGCTGCACGACGTGCGACGCCGACAGCGCGCCGAACTCGTCCACCGCGCACTGGGCCTGAGGGGTCGTCGGCAGCGGCGGCGGGAGCGAGAGATCGCTCGCGGACGCCGCGGGGCTCATCGTCAGACTGGGGGTGTCACAGCGGTCGAGCGAGGGCCGGCTCGAGGTCGCGGACGCGAATGAGGACGTGCGCGAGCGGAAGGGCGGAGTTGCCATGATCGTTGACGGAGCTGGGGAAGGCGCTGGGGGAGGCGGCGCGATCCGGGATGCTGCTGCTGGAGAGGGGGAGGATACGACGCTCGACGAACATGAAGGTCCCGATCCAGGGATGGCCGCGAGCGACCTCGCGGACGACGCAGCGCTCGCGCCAGACGACGAGCGTGTGTGCGTAGGCCGCGATCGCGGGCGCGCTTCGAGCGACTTCGCGCGTGCGTTCAGGGTGGAAGCTGTCGAGCGGCGGCGAGCCTCGCGCGCCGATACGGGGAGGATGACGCCCTCGGCCTTGAGCCCCAGCCTCGAAAAGCGCGGCGCGGACGACTGAGTGAGCCAGTTCTCCTCGGGGTTGCGCGAGGTGGATGGGGGGAGGCGCATGGGCGATCCGGTCCGCGGATCGACCTGCTGGAAGACGCTCTTCCGTGAGCTGGTAGACCGCGCGCTCGGAGTGGGTGAGCTCGGGCGTGATGGTATGGAGCGGATGCTGCTACCAGTGGAAGATGGTGCACGAGACGCGGACGGGGATGGGTTATGCTGAGAGAGACGCGAGGGCGAGTTGCTCCCGTTCTGCGCCCATGCGGGCAACGGGGGTACGGCGGGGACGGGGGGCGCGGCATGTGCGCTTGCCGACTTCGAGCGGCGACGGGGTTTGGATGGCTCACCGGAAGGCTGCTCGGATTCTGAGGTTGCCGTTGAGATAGGGAAGCTGATCTTGGAGAGAACCCCTCCGAGGGAACGTCTTCTTTGCTTCTTGGGTGCGGCCGACTCGGCATCCCCGCTCTCTTCGGCCGCAATCACGGAGAACTCTGCGAGTGGAGAGAGGTGTCGTACACCGCCGCCTGGAGTTGGAGGCGCACTCGCTGCTCCGACCAGTGCTCCGTCTCCCGTGACGGCAATAGAGGGACCAGCAAGCGGGGAGGACCGCAGAGGGCGCGCGGAGTACATCGGGGAAGAGATAGTGCTGTGTCGTCGTTTAGGCGACGAGGAGCGGTCTGGTAATGTGAGTTGGTAGTCCAAGGAGGAGAGGCGAGGTGGAAAGCGAGCGACTGGGGAAGGATCGACTAGTAGCGTAGAGCTTGAGGATGACTAGAGGAAAGGCGTGGTTAGTTCGAGCAGAAGGCGTGTGCAGGGAGCATGGTAGACACGAAGAGGAGAGCGGAGGCCAAACTGGTGAGAGCAGGGGAGATTAGATACATATCTGTTGCAGTGGATCAGAACGCTCAGGGCCGCATGATGTCGGAGATGTAGGGAAGTCGCGAGTGGCACATTGAACGAGGATGTCGAACTCGACATTCAATCATTGAATCAAGCCGCGGGGCAGCTTGAATATGCATTAGACGAACACAGTGCCTCGGCCCTCGATGCACTGAGCCGAGTTCACCGTATCTCCGCGCGTGCGGCCCTACGGGCTAGATAGCCAGGGCGGCATATAGGACGAGGGCCAGTTGATGATGATGACCGGAGTGGTGCACAGCTCTCCCTTTCATCAGTCCACGTCAGAGAGAAACAACAGATGCGCATCATGCCTAAGTGCTCAGTTCTTGTGCGGAAATCATTCGTTTCATGCATTGCAGGGAGGACAGGTGGTAACCATCTGGCACCCAGTGTTGCACAAATCCCGTAGGTATGCACATTTGGCGGTGAACGAGGTCATCAAGGACCTCGTTCCTGTGCCAATATTGTAGAGTTGCCCCCCTCCACAGAGTGAAAGACACGACCAATTGGAAAAATGGAAACGTACCTCCAACTGTCCTTCTCCAGCCTGAGACATCCTTGCTTGCATGGAGTCCATGGCGATGCTGCAGACGCAGACGTCCTGCGTCGCGTCGCAAGTTTGGAGGGTCGCCGTGTGTGTTAGGATGCGATTGAGAGAAAGAGCGGAATGAGCAGGAAAGCAGAGAGAGAGAGAGGAAGGGAGCGAGAGGAGAGAAGAGAAGAGGACGCGAGCGGAGGACTGCTGGGACGCGACTTGACCTGGCCGAGAATATATGCCCCCGCTGTCACCGAATCCCGATAAGCACGGCTTCCAAGAAGCACCTCCACCGATCCAGAACGGCAAGCACTTTACCAAATGCGGCGAGCGTTTGCACTCGCTGGCCGGCGGTTGCGATGCCTATTCCATGACATCCCGCAGCCGACACGTCCATCCTCTGTATGTCATGAATCGACGCCGTTGACCGTGACCGCCCTCCTCGTCAGAGCGTTGCTCTTGAGCTTGAGCGCGAGCGTTGCGATGCGGGTTGCATCCTCGAGCGTCCGTGCTTCGATCCGAGTCCGTGGTGGAGTCGTATAGGGATCACCGAAGGAAGCCTACCCCGCAAAGCTTGTTGCCTATGATGAGCCCTCTTGTGAGTACGCAGAAGTATTGACGTCGTCCGTTCAAACTCCCTGCCACAGGCGCCGTCAATGCTAGCGCCTTGCCAACGATGCGCTCACGTTCGCAACGTTTTACGTTCAACCGCCCATAAATACATGCCACCGCGCTACGTGTGCCAAAGAGTGAGAGCCGTGTCATGGTTAGAGGCAGGGAGATGTCGTACTGATACACGCGCGAGGCCCGTGGCTGTCTCTTGGGCACCCTCGTATGGAACCCGGGATAAAATCTGTACATAAATCCCTCGCCTGGAAGAGTGGTGTGAGGAACTCCGCAGGCAGCTTCGCGGCCTCATATCGCCTTCTCGAGCTCCTCCGACCCTCCCGTGGCGCTCGTGTCGTCGCGCTCAGGCCTGTGTAGTAGCAGTGGCAGCCATGACAGGCGGATACAGCTCCCTCAAGCTGTAGGCAGTCGATTGACACTGAGGAGGGCTTGGCCCGCGCAGCAGCGTCTTGCAACACGACCTTGTCCTGGACGGTGTACGTGAATCTAGACACAGAGACATTGCGCGCGACATACCGTGCTCTGCGGCAATCCGCCACCTCCAGTTCAGGAGAGCGAGACGAGACGACCCTATCACACCGCCCTGCCCATGTCAACCCTAGTCCGCGAGCGCGGGCCGGGCGATCGACGTAGAATCCAAGAAAAGTATGATTAGGAAGCACAGCCCGTAGGATACGACCCAGCAGCATGAAGTTCGTGACGAGAGGGAGAATGGTATCTGCGGTTACCGCCTGAGCCACCTCCTAAGAAGGCTCCTCTTGCCCGCACTCGAGCTCGAACCCGAACTCGAACTCGACCTCGACCGCGCGCGGTTCTGCTTCCCGGGCAGCAGCGGCGTCTGCTCTCCGGCCACGACGTTCACCCCATGCTCGCTCCGCATGTCCGCCCTCACGGCGTCTCCGACGGCAGCCTCGAGCGCAGGCGTGGTCGGTGCAGGAGTAGCATCCGCCGTCGCGCCAGCCTCCGAGGACGAAGCGGTGGGGCCGTCGGCCAAGGGACGCCCAAAGTCGTCCAACCCGAGCTTGTGCTGGCGCGCACGGAAGATGATGCACATGACGAGGAGTATGCCTTGCATCACGCCTGCGACCGCGTACGAGATCCACGCTGCAAGGGAAGGGGTGCGTCAGTGTCATGCGCATTGAGATGGAGTGAACGCGGTCGAGTGAGGTAGCGGACGTACTTGTCCAGTTCGTGCCGGGGCGCAGCGCGATGCTCAGCACCATGAGGATCGCTCCCGGTGTTTGAATACACATCATCGGGATGCTGAGCGCGCCAACGAGCTTGATGCGGAACGTGTGCGCGATCTGCGGTGCGTACTGGAACGCGGCGAGGAAGGCAGAGGAGACTCCCAGGAAGGTCGCCCAGAGCTGGATCTGTGGAGAGCGCGAGGTTGCGTCGGGGGTTGGGTTGGTCGTAAGGAGCATGAAGGTGATGAAGATAATGAATGCGCTGTCATAGCAGAATGAGTTAGCTAGGTCTGACCAGCGAGACGGGAACATGGTTGCGCATGGGCATGTCGAGGTTTACGACAAGAACGCCACCGACGTAATCGCGACCCATAGGGGCGAACACAGTTCGCCTCCGGATTCCATACATGTTGGAGACAGAACACGTACATGTGCAAGAAGACCACCCATGAGAGCGTGATGGACAGCTTCCATTCTTCGCGCTTGACCGGAGTCTTGATGTGTC